GAAAGCTACTGAAATTAAAGTAATTTGGCACTGGTATGGGAATATGATGCAAATATGTAATAAAGATGAAGTCTTAAATTGGTGGTAAAAAGCAAGAGAAAGTAATAGTGAAAAACATGAACAAAATTTGGTCCCTTTAACATTTCTTATTCTTAAGTGGATATTAGGGGGCTGGGGTTGTAGCTCAATGGTTTAGAGTGCTTACCTAGCATGTTTGAGGCACTGGGTTTGATTCTCAGCACCACATATTAATCAATCAATCAATCAATCAATCAATATCAATCAACAACTAAAAAGAAATTTTAAAAAAATTTAAGTGGATTATTTAGGTTGATCAAAGATTTCAATGAAAACAAAAACAAAACACTCTAGAAGAAAACATAGATGAACCTTTTTATAATTTTGGTGTGGAAAAGTCTTTTTGTGGTCAAAACCAGAAAGGAGCTAGGAGGGAAAAGAATTATAAAATTGACTTTATACATTAAAAAATGTATAGAAATGTACCCTAAAGAAGATCAAACATCAAACAAAGCAGAAATATTAGTATATTGCATAAGGGGTTCATTTTATTAGCATGCAAAATTTTTTATGAGGCCAAAGAACATGATGGATATGTCAATGAGCCTTGATGGTGGTGGTGATTTCATGCATATATACTTACCTCTCAACTCATTGAATTGTATACATTAAATGCAGCTTTTTGTATATCAAAATATTGATAATAAAAGCTGATAACAAAAGGAAAAAGAACAAGAAAATATGTAAAGGAAATGAATAAGCAGTTCACAGAAAAAAAATGTATTACACACACACACACACACACACACACACACACACTCTTGAATCCAAACTTATCCAATTAGGACTTTAACCTATGAATTTGGAGAAGGCACAGTTCAGTTTGTTAACACTTTCAGTGTTATGCCAAACATTTAAGGGAGTTCTAAACAGACTCTCCCACTACAACCAAAAGGAAATATTTCCCAACTCATATTTGAGGCCACTATGAAACTGACACCAAAATCAAAGGTATTATAAAACCAGAGGCTGATATCCTTCATGAATGTAATTGCAAAAATTCTACACAAAATTTGACTAAATCCAATATAATATAACACATCACCAAATGGTGTTTATCCCAGGAATGCAGCATTGGTTTTATGTTTGAAAACCACTCACTATTATTTATTATATTAAGCTAAAAAACAAAGAACTATACGAGGCAGAGAAAACGTTTGACAACATCAAAAATTCGTTTCTAGTGAAAACTCTTAGTAAGTTAGGAGCACAGGGAAATTTTCCCAACCTGACAAAAGCTGTCTCCAGAAAACAATTTATATTTAATAGTGAAAGACTAAATTCTTTCCTTAAAATCAGAAATAAGACAGGCAGGTATATCTATTCTTACCACTTTTGTGTAATATTATACTGAAAGTTGTAGCCAGTTTAATCAGAAAGAAAAAGAAAAGGTATCCAGTTTGGAAAGGAAGAATTAAAGCTGTCTTTATTCACAAACAGCATAATCATCTATGCAGAAAATCTAATGAAACATATTTATAAATTATACACTATTATAATTTAGCTTAGCAAAGTTGTAGGATTCAAGATCTACAAATATCAATTATTTTCTATATTCTAGCAATAAAAACTACAATGTAAAATTTGAAAACCAGGAGTATAAAGTAAAAAATGTAAAATAGGAATAAATCTTATAAAAGATATAAATGATAGGTACACTGAAACTTATAAAATATCACCTAGAAAAATCAAAGAAAATTTGTTGCAGACAAATATCTTGTTCTTCAGTCACAATATTCAATATTCAATATTGCTAAGCTATCTCTTTACTCAGGTTTATTTATGGAGTGCATAGAATCCTGTCTTAGCGATTTTTGCTGCTGTGACTAAAGGATCTGACCAGAACAATTTTAGGGGAGAAAATTTTTATTTTAGGGCTCACAGTTTTTGAGGCCTTAGTCCATGGAAGAGTGGCTCCATTTCTCAGGACTCAAGATCCTTGGGGGTTCCAGGTGAGGCTGAACATTGTGGCAGAGGGAAGCAGGTCACATGACCAACAGGAAGCAGAGAGAGGTCTCCACTTGTCAGACACAAATATATACCCAGAGCCACAGCCCAATTCCCACCTCCTCCAGCCACACCCTACCACTTCAGTTACCACTCAATTAATTCATGGGATTAAATCACTGATTGGGTTAAGACTCTTATAGTCAATCATTTCTCTTCCGAACCTTCTTGTGCTGTCTTACACATGAGCTTTTGGGGGACATCTCACATCCAAACCATAAGAAATCCCAATCAAAATGCCTCCTGAATTTTTTTTTTTGTAGAAAGTCATGAACTATTCATTTAGAAATGTAAAGGACCTTGAGTAGCAAAATAACTGAAAAAGAACAAAGTTGGAAGGCTAAAATTACCTGTTTTCAAGCATTATTGTATAGCTGTGATAATCAAATCAGCATGACATTGGTATCAAAATAGGGAAATAGGTTAATGGAACAAAAAGTTCAGAAATAAAACCATGTATTTATTGACAACTGGGTTTTGACAGAGGCACAAGGGCAATGAATGTAATGGAGAATAATTGAATATGCAACAAAATGTTATTGAATGTATTTTTTAAGATGGTATTGGATTTTGTTTTAGCTGGTAATCAGGTTACTTGAAGATTAACTTAATTATTTTAATGCTTTAAAAAAACCCTCATGCAGATGTAATGTATCCTCATTTTAGGACTAGTTTAGCCCTGTTGACTGAGACATGGCCCTTTGGGTGAGTGGGGGGGTGTCGTCTCTTTTAAATGCCCTGGTTGGTCTGCAGAGTGTCTCTAATTAGGATGGTGGGATTGTGAATGTCTCCCAACCTTACATGAGCTCTGATAGTTGTTATGGCTTTTCAGTAGTTATTCTTGCCCAACTTCAGGGAGACTCATCTTTATACATGAGCAGTTTATCATACAGATAATAACTCAAAGAGCAACTTTATGAGTTGTATGGCCTTTCCTCTATTCTCTCATTTCTGTGCCCTATCTTACAAGTTCTAACCCCCTTAGCCTCCCCATTCTCTAACTCTGTCCCCTCATGAGCAGGATCACCTTACTCTGCTCTTCCTATCCCACTTGTACTGTATTCTGGAAAGTTTATCCAAACAAGAAGCCAGGGTAATCTTAGGGATCACCTTGTTTATTTCCTTTCAGAGGATCATAAATCTGAACTGCCTGTTTTCTAATGCTTGAAAATAGGTCTCCCCATGTATTTTGTAGGCCTTCAAGTTGTTGATCCTGGCAGGGTAATTCACAACAGTTATTTAGTCATGACTGGGAATAAATGTCTTCCATAACTTATTTTTCATTGAAAAAAATTTATTCTTAATTTGTTATTTTTAATAAATTACATAATTATAATAGAAGAGAAGTGCAACTGGTGCAAACAGATTTTGGAGTAAGCACCACAGTTTCTTGGTAAGCATATAGATTATCTGATGGGAGAATGCTTTGTACTCTGAGGAATAGGAAAGTAGGGTTAAATATTCAGCAGTTAGGTTTGTTTTACAGTAAAACTAAACGAAGTGAGTTCAATAAAAAGCAAGGAAGTTAAACTGCAGTCCATTAAGAATGTTGCTGTAGTACTCAGTTAGCTTTATGAGATTTTAAAATGAATCTGGTTAGCTAGATCCAGCTTGGAAAAAGTATTATCAAAACTATCCTGAAATTTAGGATAGCATCCCTCCTCCCCATATTGACAGAATTTGGATTATCTAAATGAGGAGTTTCAGCATTTTAGGAGGCACAATTGAGAATTGATACTTGGTATGTATCATCTGGAAAATTATTCTAATTGTGCATTTCCTGGCGTAGGAAATAAACTATTGCCATAATTCTTTATTTAATTTCATGACAGATACTTTTAGCAAAGAAAATTTAGCATTCCCTTTTCTGGTCTAATTGGGATTAGTTTTTGTACCTCTGTGATTGTCTTATCATGATTTTATTAGATATTCTAACACTTTATAAAGTTTGATAATGTGTTAGTTCTGTCACTGCAATAAATACCTGAGATAATTGACTTCTAATGAGAAAAGGTTTATTTTGGTTCACAGTTTTGAGGTTTTAGTCCACTATTGGTTGGTCTTGTTGCTTTGGACCTGTGGTGGGCAGCACATCATGGCAGGAGCACATGGTGGGGCAGAACTGCTTACATCATGAGCAAGAAACAAAAGAGAAGAAAAGGAAGGGATGGGGGTTCCACTATCCCCTTAAGAGAGCATGCCCCAGTGACTATCAGGGCCCACCTTTTAAAAAGTCCACCAGCCTCCCAGTAGTACCACCCTAGGACACTACTCTAACATATGGGCCTTTGAAGGACATTCAAGATCCAAACCATGGCAGATGATACTTAATTCTAGATTTAAATAATTATTTTATGAGATTTTGTGTGTGTGTGTGTGTGTGTGTGTGTGTGTGTGTGTGTGTATGTAGGGGATTGAACCCAGGGGCACTTAACCACTGGAGCACACACTTTTTTGTATTTTATTTAGAGACAGGGTCTCGCTGAGTTGCTTAGTGCCTCACCAAGTTGCTGAGGCTGGCTTTGAACTCAAAATCCTTCTGTCCTAGCCTTCCATGTTGCTAGGATTACAGGCATGTGCCACCACATCCGGCTATTTTTATGAGAACTTTTAAGAAAACAATTGGTTAGTCTTCCCAATATGTACTTCTCATGAGAGTTTTAATTAATATACACTGCTTATCAGGATTTTTAATTTACTGAAAATATTTTAAAACTAATAACATTTGTCATTTTTTCTTTTTTGTATGTAGAGCTTAGATTCAACTCCAACCATGTTAGGATTAACAGATGAAATACTGTTTCATAACATAATATTCCACACTTCCAGAGTGTTTAGTGGAATCAACCAGTTGCTTGTTTCTCCTGGTTTTCAAATAAGGAGTTATTTCTCTTTTGTTCATCCCCTCATTTCAGAAAAAATGAAGATGAATAAACTACGTCTTTCTAACATAAACCGGAAAAACATTTTTGGAGAGAACTTATTGTATAAGGCTGCTCTGCACAATGATGCTGATCTCATACATCTTTGTATTAAAAAAGGTGCAAATGTTAATCAGCCAAGTTATGCTGGTAAGTTAGGGTTACCTCCTCAAGTTTTCCTGATAGTGGTTTGTAGGTTTAGCAGAATCACTGCCATGAAAGTGTAGCAGAGTGGGCCTAAGGCAAGTCCTAAAGCTTTCTTGTAATTTTCTTGCTTAAGAAGCTCTTTGCCATTATCTTCAGGGAAGAGGGTAAGGTGAGGAGGGTGAGTGGCAGAAAAAGAGCATTATATTTCTTCAAAGATTGTGGCAAGTGTCCATCTACAGTGCCATTATACAGAAAGAAGGATGGTCCCTGAGTCTGGTTTTGCGTGATCATTGTCACTATGGGCTCAACTTTGGAGGAGAAATGTGGTCAAGAAACTGAAGGTACCCTTATCTGGGGGTTAAGGGAAGATTTGTGACAAAATGGTAGATATACAGCAGGAATAATGATGACCAGGGAGATGGAGAGAATAGAATATAGAGGTAAAGAGGTTCAGATAGGTTGTTCAGAAAACAGCAGTCTTTCTGTAAGGCTGGGTGTCTAGTGTAGTCTTCCTTGTGGGGAGAATATGATATGTTCTTCTGGAGATGAGTGAGTAAAGATACTTAGGTACTTAACAAACTGAATAGCACTGGGCCAGCCTGAATGGTGCTTTAGGTACATAAGAATACTTTAAAATACTTGACTTTTTTCATATTTTTCCACAACAGAGTTGAGAGAGAGGAATTTGATTTGTTCCTCAGATTTATTGAATCCACTATATAATACAGGGTGCTTTAATGGTGATGTTATATTGTCTCATATAGTCAAAATATTTTTTAAAAAAATTAGTATTTTTAAGCACAAGCACAAAACATTATTAATATATCAAATATAAACAAATGTCATTTCTTTTTTGTATAACAGGTTGGACAGCACTTCATGAAGCTAGTTTAAAAGGATTTTATCGCACAGCAAGTGAACTATTAAAAAGTGGAGCAGATGTAAATATCAAAGGAATGAACCAGATCACTCCTCTACATGATGCTGTGATAAATGGACATTATAAGGTACTTGAATGATTTTGTTTGCAGAGTAAATATTGTGTTCTGCAAATGTTAAATATCTCTGGGACCATATAACAGAAAAACATAGGGAATTTCAATTTTGGTTCATTCTGCTAATGAACATTTAGGATTTATAATAAAATTTTACTGTTCAATGTGTTTTTAAATTTTTTTTAGTTGTAGATGGACACAATATCTTTATTCTTACTTATTTATTTTTATGTGGCGCTGAGGACCAAACCCAGGGCCTCATGCATGCAAGGTAAGCGTTCTACCACTGAGCTATAATCGGTTCTCTCAATGGGATTTTTGTGCTTAATTGGTAGATGTCATTTTACATATACTTTTTTTGCCTTTGAAGGAGGGGTGGGGTCTTACTCTGCTGCCCAGGCTCATCTCAAACTCCTGGGCTCAGTTGAGGGAACCACATCCCCTGCCTCAGCCTTGGGAGTAGCTTGGAATATATGCTTGTGCCACCAAGCCCAACTGGTAGATGCTATTTTACATATTATTTTATGAATATACAGAACATTTTATATTTATATATAGTTAATTTTTTCAGCTTTTTCTCCTTTAAAACTCTTTTCATGTGGTGCTTTATGTTCTTTTTAAGAATATATTCTTCTTATAGAATGTTACACAATGATATCCAGCTCTGATTGGAAGTGTATAGCCTCATGGAGTCCTGTGCCATTTTCAGAATCAGCATAGTACACAGTAACCTCCCAGGGCTAATCATCAGTAAATACATACCTGTGAGATTGTACCGCTAGTTAAAATATCAAAATACTATAATTCCATATTGGTTAGTAGTACCTACAATAAATGTTACATTAAGTAAAATTATGAATTCCATTATACATGGTTTATTTCAGAAACCACATATGCTCTGAGCTTCCTACATTTCTTTTTGTAGTACTGTGAATTGAACCCAGAAGTACCCTGCTACTGAACTATATCCAAGCCCTTTTTAAAAATTTCTTTTAATTAGTTATACATGAAAGTAGAATGCATGTATGCATTTTGATGTATCATGCATAGATGGGGTATAATTTTTCATTTTTCTGAGGGTACATGTTATAGAATCACATTGGTCATGCAGTCATATATGTACATAAGGTAATAAATTCTACTATTTTTCTTATCCCCATATCCCCTCCTTTCCTCTCCCTTCACTCCTCTCTACCTAATCTAAGGTAACTCAGTTCTTCCCTAGCACCCACCCCCTTATTGGGAATTAGCATCCACATATTAGAGAAAACATTCGTCCTTTATTTTTTTAGGATTGGCTTATTTTGCTTAGTGTGATATTCTCCAGCTCCATCCATTTACTAGCAAATGTCATAATTTCATTCTTCTTTTTTGGGGAGCGAGGTGTACCAGGGGTTGAAGTGAAGGACACTCAACCACTGAGTCATATCCCCAGCCCTATTTTGTACTTTATTTAGAGATAGAGTCTTACTGAGTTGCTTAGTGCCTCTCTTTCGCTGAGGCTGGATTGAGCTCATGATCCTCCTGTCTCAGCCTCCTGAGCCACTGGGATTACAGACATAAAGTTCCATGCCCGGTTCATTCTTCTTGAAAGCTGAGTAATATATATATTACATTTATATGTAATTATATATATATATAATCACATTTTCTTATCCATTTATCTATTGAAGGACACCTAGGTTGGTTCCGCAGCTTAATTATTGTGAATTGAGCTGTTATAAACATTAGTGTGGCTGTGTTACTGTGGTATGCTGATTTTAAGTCCTTTGGGTATAAACTAAGGAGTGGGATAGCTGGGTCAAATGGTTCTATTCCAAGTTTCTGAGGACTCTTCATACTGCTTTCCATAGTGGTTGCACCAGTTTGTAGTCCCACCAGAGCAGTTCTAACTCCAGAGATGGGAGTTCAAATCATTCCCACAGGAGTAAAGGGCCTCTTCCTCAAGGAACAGTAGGCTTATTATTGGGACACAGTTCTTCTACTCTAAAAGGACTTATGATAAGTCCTGGGGTAATTGATCCTGATTATGAAGGTGAAATAAAAATTATAGCCAGTTCTCCAAGGGGTATATCAGTAATTTCACCAGGAAATAGAATAGCACCCAGCACACATTTGGATAGCACAAAACAGGAAAACTTCAGACCTGGGAATCTGGATGTCCTAAAGAATTTTTCTCAGGCAACCTCTTTGAGATGAACTATCTCCATTGGTTTGTTGCCCAGCATTTTTTTCATTGAAGTTGCTATTACACAAGATTTCAACAGTAGCTTGATCTTTGTTTTGATCTCAGTTATTTTTGGCTCCACTATGTTGGAATTATTTGCAATAACTGCTGAAAGCAGCTTTGTCAAGTCCCCTCTTTGATTTACACCCCAGAACTTGACTGAAAATAGTACAGTGACTTCATTAAGTATTATAAAAAACTCATGCCAGGAAACCTTGAGAAGCTACAATAGAAAGATACCAAGGCTGTTTAGGAGGATGAAATGAGAATATCTGTCTACTAGTGGGTCAGTTAAACATGTCCTTTTCTGGAAGAAGCAAGTGACTGAGCTTCACCATTTCACCATTTGGAGTGTGCTTCTTGCAGAGGGTTTTTTTTCTTTTGACTCACCCCACAAAGCACCATGCTTTGGGGTTATTGGACTTGGTACTTCATTTAAGCCACACAGAGAGATGAATACTATTGCTATATTCCCATGAAGAAAAATATTAAATTGAAACCAACCCCATCACCAGTGTGTCTCAGAATAAAAGGAGCTTGTTAAGTGAAACCATTGTAAAGTATTATCTCCTCTATCCTGCTTTTTTGCCAGGATATTAACTAAGCAACATTCATACCCTTTTCAGGATTTTATATTAGAGTCCACAGACTTAATTGAAACCATACAGAGAGAATGGTAAACTTGAAAACATTTTTCAGGGGCTTGGCATTATTGAAAAGAGGATCATATAGTGTGGGTTACAGTTGAGGGAGCTGTGCTGGTATTATGGTTTGGTTGTGAATTGTTCCCCAAAAGCTTATATGTGAGACAATGCAAGAAAGTTTAGAGGAGAAATGATTGAGTTATGAGAGCCTTAACCCAATCAGCAAATTAATCCCCTGATGGGGATTAACTGAGTGGTAACTGAAGGCAGGTGGGATGTGGCTGGAGGAGGTGGGCATTGGGGGCATGCCTTTGGTGTATATATTTTGTATCTGGAGAGTGGAGCCTCTCTCTGCTGTGTGATCATCATGTGAGCCACTTTCCTGTGCCATACTCTTCCTCCATGATGTTTTGCCTAACCTGGAGCCTGGAGAAATGGAGCCTGTTGTCTATGGAGACTTCCAAAACTGTGAACCCCGCCCCCCTCCATATAAACCTTTTCTCCTCTATGGTTATTCTAGTCAGGTGTTTTAGTCAAAGCAGCAAAAAAACTGACATAAACAGCCAGTAAGACAGGGATCTCAAAAGCAAGAGACCCCTGACCTATAGTCCAAAATATCTTGATCTGTTTGTATTTCCTCCTGTGTTAGAATTTTAAAAAATAGAATCTTAAACCAGAAAGGGAATCTTTAGGATAATTTCCTTGGTGTTTTCTTTTCTTTTTTTAAAATAAAATGCCCAAGATCTAGAGAAGTACAGCAACTAGGTATGAGACTCCAGGTCACACAACTGGGTTGTGGCTGAAACATGACTATTGCCACATGACTACTGATCCTTACAAAGATCACTTGGCTGAGGTAGGGTTTGTCATTTTTCCATAGTAAGGTTATTCCTCCACCATTTATATAACTAACCACTTTGTAAGGAAATCTTGAATATAGTCCACACTTAAGGATTGGGGAAGTTAATCTTCACTGTCTTGAGGTTGAATAAAGAAGTGTTTTTATATTCTTTTGTTTTTCATATACCCACATAATTAATTTTATTGGTGTGCTTTGTTTTCTCATAAGGGTTTGAATTATTGTCTCTCATCACTTGCTGTTTGCCCAGTTACCTTTAGTATTCTTTTAAGCCAATAAATTCTCTCAACTTTTGTTTACCTGAGAATGTCTATTTTGCCTTCATTTTTTTAAAGGACAGTTTTGGTAGATAGAAGATTCTTGGATGACAGTTGCTTTTCTTTTTCTCCCTCTTCCTTTTTTTAAAGCATTTTAACTCACTAACTCCATTCTTTCTGGCCTCCATTTCTTCTTTGCTAATAAGTTAGGTGTTAATTTTACTTGAATTCCAATCTAAGTGATGTTATTTTTTCTCTTGCTACTTTAAGGATTACTTTTGAATTTTAAGATTTTTAACTATTTATTTATGCATAAGCTTTGGAGTTTATCATATTTAGAGTTTGTTGAACTCCTAGGATGTGTAAACTCATGGTTGGCATAAAGTTTTCAGCCTTTATTTCCTTAAATATTTTTTCCTGTGCCTTTTGCTCTCTTCTCTTCTTCAGAAACTCCTACTATATGTATGTAGGTATGGTTTATGGTGTCCCACATTTCTTCAATGCTCTGTTCACTTTTATAAAGTTTTTTTTTCTGTTATTCAGATTGTATAATCTTTATTAATTTTTTTTCCAGTTCGACTGTGGTTCCTCTGAAACTCAAACCTACTTTTAAGGCTCTCTGGTGAATTTTTCATTTTGGTTATAATTTTCAACTCTAGAATTTCAGTTTGTTTCTTTGTTTACAATTTATGTCTCTCTGTTAATATTCTCTATTTGATGAATCATTGTCATCATCCCTTTCTTCAAATCTGTACAAATGGTTTCCTTAATTGTTTGAATATATTCAATAGATGTTTTGGAGTACTTTCCCACAAATATAGGCCCTCTCAGAGAAGATTCTATTGATGCTTTTTAATGATGTATATAGGCCACACTTTACTGTGTCTGCATGTATCTCTTCCTCCCTCTCCCCTCCCCCACCCCGTTCAATCTAGACAATTTAGATAAAGTATTGTAGCAACTCTGTGCTCATTTCTCCCAACACATACCCAAACAGGGATGTTGTTTGTTTGCTTTTTGTTTAG